CCCCCCCGTAGGGTCTTTGCAGATATAATTAAGTTAAGGATATCGAGATGAGATCACTCAGAATTTAGGGTGGGCCCTAAATTCAATGACAAGTGTCCTTATAAAATACAGGAGAGAGAGATTTGAGACACAGAGACACACAGAGGGGAAGGCCATGGGAGGGCGGAGGCAAGATCAGACAAGCCCAGGACCTCGGAAGATTAATCACAGCCACCAGAAGCTGGAGGGAGCATGGAAGGGCTTCTCCCTCGGAGCCTCCAGAGGGAACCCACCCTGCTAACATATTGATTTTGGGTTTCTGGCCTTCAGAACTGAAGAGGAGAAGTTTCCATCATCTTAAACCACCCAGTTTGTGGTAATTTGTTGCAGCAGTCTTAGGAAATTAAAACAAATGGGAATAATAATCATCTTGAAGACCTTACAAGGTTGCTGAGAAGATTGAAATGTGAGGGACAGAGGAGCCTCCTGCGCCACCGAACGTGGGTCAGGTGTGAGCATCAATGAGGTGTGAGCGTGGCTCAGGTGTTCGGGCTGCGACCTGGGAGGCCCCTGAGGCTGCTGTTCTCATACCTGCCCTTGAAGCATCTCCTCTGCCTTCCACAGAAACTCCCAGGCTTTAGACAGTGCAACTTACCAACGTCCCTTGGGTATCCCAACACCTTCCTATGTTAACTGTGCATTTAAATGTTTTCAAAATGTGTTTAAAGTTTTAAAATGTTTAACTTTGAGTAGGAAATAATATATGATGTGATAAAACAATTCAGGTACTACCAATGATTACATGTGAAAAAGACACCCCGCGCCCCACCCTGTTTTCTTGCTCCCCTTTCCAGGGGGCTGTTACCAGTTGGCTGATGTCCTTCTGGAGCAGCAGCGCTGGCTGAGAGAACTTTCTGAGGTGATAGAAATGCACATCGTCAAGTGTGGTGGCCCTACTAGCTGCTTGTGGTTATTGAGCCCTTGGAATAGGTCTAGAGCAACTGACAAACTGAATTTTTATTTAATTTTAATTTAAATCGCCATGTGTGGCTACTGGCTCTGGCATCAGACAGCTTGATTTTTGAGATAGTTTATGTACATTTCAGCCAGTAGCTCCCTCTCTGTTTTTAGACAAATGGTATTGTGGTTGTTGCCCCCGTGTTGCTTTTTTCAGTTGGCAATTTCACTTTGAGATGGTCTGATTCAGTCCAATACCAGAGAGCAGGTGCTGCCTTGTTGGGGTTAAAGGATGGAGTCCTGTCTGGTTGTTGGGCTGTCCTGTGAAGAACCTGGCCAGTCCCCCACAGGGACACTTGGGTTGTTTTTTGTCCTATGTTCTTAAAGACCATCCTCTGGGGAAGTTTTGGAGGGAAGGAGGGCGGCTGCCTCACCCTGTCCTCTGCCTTCCTCGTGCTTTGTCCTGAAGCCCATCATGAGCCAGGCATGCTGCAGGGCCTGGGGACACTGGGCTGGAGGACAGGAGCCCTTAGTCTGTTGAGGGAGGCCACATTCAGAGCCGTAATCCTAGAACCTTGCAAGAGGGACTCTGAGAGGGGGTGGCCCTGAAGCCTGCTCTGTGGGAGATGCCCCCAGCACCCTGCCTCCACTGTGCTGTTAACGATTGTGACTCAGGAGGGTTCCAAAGGATGGCTCAGGGCTGGCACCTCGGAGCCTGAATCCACTTGAGCAGCTGCCGTGTGGTCCCACCCTGCATGTCCTGGAGATGTGGGCCACTCTGGTGTCAGAGGTCCTTGCATTAACTAACTCTTTCAGTTAGAAACCTCAGAATGCTAACTGATGATCTGACCATGCTACATTAGTAAATCAAAAAAGGGGAAATTATTAGCGCATGTAACTGGAAATGAAAAGGTCAGAGGCAGAGCTGAGTGCAGGTGTATCAGGCTCAGGGGCTTTCTCTCCATCTCTAAGCTCTTCTCTGCATCATTTTCAGTCTCTCCTTGGGGCCTGAAGGTGGCCCCCAATAATTCCACAGGTAGATCATTCCTTCTCAGCAACCCCAGCAGAGAGAGCACTCTCCTTCTCAAAAGTGCCAGCATTGGGGAATGGAGAAGTGTTACGGGCTGAATTGTGTCCTGCTCAAAATTCATATGTTGAAGTCCTAACCCCCAGTACCTCAGAAAGTGACTATATTTG